AAACAAAACACAACAACATAAAAAGCAGTAAATAAATAAAGGGAACCACTTCCAAGTTGACATCCCAAGCTGGAAATACTCCACACTCTCCTTAACCTGCTCAGCACCAAAAGCTACAAAACAATAGTAGCTTTTTGTCCATTATATATATATATATGACGTTTACATATATATTTACATATATAATATTAGCTTATTTAATTCTTTCAACAATCCCAAGATAGGTACCATTATTACACTATTTTACGGAGGAGAAAACAGAAATCTTCAGAGTCAGAGCAGCTTTTATGGCCTCAGCCTTACTCCTGAATTGCATTGCAGAGAGGCCACCTCATCAGTATTAGTACCCCCACCTCAGTGTCAGTATCCACTGCCTCTAGCCTCGTTGGGATTATGACAGTAACTTCCCAACTGATGTCCCAGCCACCCGCAAATCTCTCTCCATTTCCAAGCACTTTCAACGGGGCCACCAAAGTAATCTTAAAAAAAAAACACATCAGCCTGGCACAGTGGCTCACACCTGTAATCCCAGCACTTTGGGAGGCTGAGGCAGGCAGATCATTTGAGGTCAGGGGTTTTAGACTGGCCTAACCAACCTGGTGAAACCCTGTCTCTACTAAAAATGCAAAAAATTAGCTGGGTGTGGTGGCGCATGCCTGTAATCTCAGCTACTCAGGAGGCTGAGGCAGGAGAATTGCTTGAATCCAGGGGGTGGAAGTTGCAGTGAGCTGAGATCATGTCACTGTACTCCAACCTGGGTGACAGGGTGAGGCTTCATCTCTAAAAAACAAAACAAAAACTGCCACGTGTGGGGGTGCATGCCCGTAGTCCTAGTACTTGGGAGGCTGAGGTGGGAGGATCGCTTGAGCCTGGGTGAGCTGAGATTTTACCACAGCACTCCAGCCTGGATGACAGAGTGAGACTGTCTCAAAAAAAAAAAAAAAAAATCACAATTTGACTGTGTAAATTCTGAGCGATTCCTTCTCAAATGCCCTAGCACACACAGAGGCTACCTGACCTGATGCCAGCCTGTCCCCTTTTCCCACGCTGTGCTCCCTTCCTCCATTCCAGGCTCATGTGCTTTTCTCCGGTAGGGCTGAGTGTGTGTACAGATAGTTCTCTCTGCTTGCAGTGCTTTGCCCACCCCAACTCCTACTGTGACCTGACCATCCTCAAAGCCCTAATCAAATTCTACCTCCTTTAGTGATGCTGTCAGACTCCTCAGTTGGCACAGCTCCAACTACGTGTGATTTACAGTGCACTTGGTGCTGGCCGGGTGTTGTGGCTCATGCCTATAATCCCAACACTCTGGAAGGCCAAGACAGGAAGATTGCTTCATGCCAGGAGTTTGAAACCAGCCCTGGTAAGACAGCAAGACAAAGTATAAAAAATAAAAAATAAGAATACAGTGCATTTGGTGCAAACCTCCGCCATTTTCCTTAACATCAATTATATTGTAATTACATGTTTATTTCTGCCTGTCCATCTCCTTGAGGGCAAGAAGAGCATATTATTCTTTCTGGAGTTGGTATCCCTTCTTAGCGGTGGTCATATCTAGGGTGCAGTTGATGATTCTACCGAATAAATACATGCCTCCAGAAATTCTTATTGAAAAGCAAGCTTTGGAAGAAATAACCCAGCCACTGTTTTTAGATGTGGGTGCTGTTGGTATAATACTCTGCTGGCTTAGAGATGCCCTGCTTAGAACCTGAGGCCTGGGGATGGTAGCCGGCGTGTGTGTGTGTCTGTGTGTGCACGTGTGTGTGTAGGTGTGCGTACACACGTGTGTGTGTGTATTTTGTCCTTTCAGAGAGTTACTTTTCCTGGACTGATGGAAACATCTTGCACAAAATTAAGAGCCAGTTTGTTGACTGTTTTAAGGTTTAAAAAATATTTTAAAATAAATAAATTATTAGATAGTCCACATACAGTCAATACTTTAAATGTCAATCTAAACTTCTTTCATAAATAGCAAATGCCTTATTTACAACTACTGTTGAATGAAGTCATTTCCATCCTTAGCCATAAGAGAAATAAGTTACTTATTCGTAGAAAACATTTAGAGGTATAATACAATGAGATCTGAAGAGAAACCTCAAACATTCATTTCTATTGTTGGTTACAAAATGACTCTCAATTATGAAGTGCACTTTAGCTGCAAAATCCCTTCTTGGACGTGAGATCATTTCTCTCTTACAACCTGTAAGCCTGTCCAGGTTACACATAGACATGTGTAACCACTGCACCTGCACCAGGTCCTACAGGCACAGGTCTTCTGGGAACCTACATCAGCTCTTCAAGCTGTGAAAGTAGTTCTACTTAGTAAAATTAGAACTTTGTCTACCAAGGGCACTCTTAACATTTAAAGAGGAAAAATGAACTTCTAGAACAATTCACTGACTAGGACAAGGTGAATAAGTAAGTATCTTAACGTCCGTGGAAGTTCTGGTGGCATGCTAATGCATATTTAATAATCCGAGTAAAGTAGCACATATTTTACAATCAATAAATTTTCCTTAAAGAAGATAATGTAGCCGGAGAGCTGAATGTCAAACAAGGTTACACTCATACTTATTAATTTGGTAGGATTCATAAAGCCTGATTTTCTTGAAAGACAAATTGTCTTCACTGTTTTGATTTTGAAATGCAGAAACTCAAATTTCAGTCAATCCAATGAGTAAAGATGACAGGAAATTTTACAGGACTAGGAGGAATCTTTGTTTCCTTTTTTCTTATTTTTATTGGGGCGGGTGTAGGGAAATGTTTCCCCCACAAAACAGCAGTTTTGCTAGAAGAGAGTGAGGAATAGAAAATAGGGCCGCCACCGTTGTGTGCCCTCTTCCCTGGGAGCAGTCAGTTGCTGTGACATGGACCTTCTCATTGCAGCTATCTTTTCTTGCTGCCATACTCCCTCTGACTCTCTCCCATTCCATCCCTTCGATTCTCTTGAATCAGAATGGGCCCCATGCTTTATGTTTTCCCCCCTCATTTAGCCCTTATAGAAGAGATCAGGATGCGCCACCTCCAAATGCCATTTTGGCACAAGAATATCTTGAACTGGCCAGACCTGGTTCATGCCTGTAATCCCGGCACTTTGGGAGGTTGAGGTGGGCGGATCGCCTGAGGTCGGGAGTTCGAGACCAGCCTGACCAACATGGAGAAACTCCATCTCTACTAAAAATACAAAATTAGCTGGGCATGGTGGCGCATGCCTGCAATCCCAGCTATTCAGGAGGCTGAGGCAGGGGAATCACTTGAACCCAGGAGGCAGAGGTTGCAGTGAGCTGAGATCACGCCATTGCACTCCAGCCTGGGCAACAAGAGCAAAACTCCTTTGAACTGAAAGCTATGGAAAAGAAAGCAGACAAAGAAAGAAAAAGAGCTCTCTGCCCACCCCATCTCCCATCTTCTTGAAAGCAGCACACGTATTGATATTTCCTTTGCACAGGTGTCCCCCTCCCTCGTACAAGGAAGAGAACAACTCTTATCACCAGAGACAGAGATGACACTGAGATGAGTCTGTATAAACAAACTTCGATAAAATAACCCTTATCTTCCATTAGTTCCACCTCCCCCACCCCAGTTTATTGCCCCTAAAGCCTAACCCTCTTTTCCCTTGCCTAGTCACATCACTATTTGCTGCCCTTTGTTATAACGGTATATAAGCTCTTAAGTCTATTGGGGTTTTACACTTCTTTTCTGTGAGGCTCTCATACATGTGAGATTTTATTTTATTTTATTTTTTTGAGACTGAATCTCACTCTGTCTTCCAGGCTGGAGTGCAGTGGCGTGATCTTGGCTCACTGTAACCTCTGCCTCCTGGGTTCAAGTGATCCTCCTGCCTCAGCCTCCTGAGTAGCTTGGTCTACAGGCATGCACCACCATGCCCAGCTAATTTTTGTATTTTTAGTAGAGATGAGGTTTCACTATGTTGGCCCGGCTGGTCTCGAACTCCTGACCTCACATGGCCAGCCCATCTCAGCCTTCCAAAGTACTGGGATTACAATGAGGCACCGGCCCAGCCACATATGAGATTTTAAATATGAATAAAATGTGCGTGCCTTCTCTCCTGCTAATCTGTTTTATGTTGTTTAATTCACAGCCCTCAGGGACTCAACCTAAGAGGGCAGAGGAAGTTGTTTCCTCTCACACACTTGTGATCTATAGGTGGTAACCCGATGCCTGCCCGTGGAGATGGGGGTCCCTGTGAACATGGTACAGGTGACCAAACTGGGGCTCAGGGAAGTTACAGGAACTCGTGAGTGCTGGAGTCCGGACTCCTGTCAAGGCCCTTTTACCTCCCTCTTTCCTTTCTTGGCCAGCACCTCACAGTTTTGTTTTGCCCATCTAGCAGACCGTAAAGCCCGAGGGATGGTTGATATGCCCTCATGCAGGCTTCCCATCTTCTCCAGAGCTCCCATGCTGAGTGTCAGCTCAGGAAAGGAGGCACACCTAAAAACAGCCCTAGTGTTTCTGACAAGTCTCCTTCTAGGGCTCCGCAGGCATGCAGCCCTGGGCTGAGCAGCATTAATCACCCAGTGAGTTTTGGTCGATGAAATGAGACTGATTTGCATAATCCAGCTGTTCTAGGGCAGGTACCTGGGCTATCGGACAGGGGCTCCAAGACTTGGCTTGAGAAAAAGGAACGCTGAGGAACTACCCCAGCCAGGATCTAAATTCCCCCATTCATCCCTTCTCACCAGGTCTTTGGAAAGTTGCCTGAAGATAAATAATGTACCCCTGCTGTGAGCCAGAAGCAGGGCGGGATTGGGGAGAGTGGGGGGGTGGGGGGCAGGGCCAGAGAAGAAGGCTGTCTTGTTCCAAGAGGTCAGTTAAAAGAGACTTTTCAGGTTTGTCAACCCAGAAGAGCCCAAGAAGAAACAATAATGGGCTTAAAGTGTGCCATTAAAAATCTTATTGTCCCGATAATCTCACTGCTTAGGTAAGAAACTTGCCAGGGGGCTAAGGAAAGAGAAACAGAAGAGGAAAGCTCGGCTTACCTGGAAGGCTGTGTTGCTGTAGCCCTTAGCTCTCGGGGCTGCCGTGCTCCTCAGCTCCATGCTCTTTTTGTTGCTGGCTGGGTCTGGTCTGGAGGTCCTTCGTACCTGGGAAAAAGCACCGGTAACTGCTGATGTCAGAAGGCTACCTGCTGTTACAGGGACCTGGGCACTGCTTGCTTCAGTTTGGAAACTTCTGCAATAATTTCCTGAATGACTTGGGCTGACCTGGTTGGGGTGGGGCAGGGAGGCGGGTGGGTTGGCTGGGTGGAGGCATCTAATGCAGGCCCGCCCACCTTATTAATCTTTTCCTTTATTCCCATTTTTGGCGTCATATGTGCACTCCTGGGGAGAAAACTCTTGTGGTGCACAAAACAGAAAAGGACGTTTTCTTTTCTCTCTCTCTCTTTTTTTTTTTTTGAGATCGAGTCTCTCTCTGTTGCCCAGGCTAGAGTGCAATGATACAGTTTCGGTTCACTGCAACCTCCGCCTCCCAGGTTCAAGCGATTCTCCTGCCTCAGCCTGTTGAGTAGCTGGGATTACAGGTGCGTGCCACCACGCCTGACTGGTTTTTGTATTTTTAGTAGAGAAGGTGTTTCACCATGTTGACCAGGCTGGTCTTGAACTCCTGACCTGAAGTGATCCACTCGCCTTGGCCTGCTAAAGTGCTGGGATCACAGGTATTAGCCACCACACCCAGGCAGAAAAGAACACTTTCTCCATTGTCCTAAGTGAAATCCTGTTTTCCTGTGAGTGGTATTAGAGGCTAGGAGTGGTGGTGGGGTGGAGGGCGGGGGAATATGGGACATAAGGGCATGCCGGCCTCAATGATCACCTACTGTGTACCAGGGATGGTTGGATAGATCGATACTTAGACAGATAGGTGGGTAGGTAAGGGTCTTGGCTCCTCTTCAGAATAACTCCAAATTCTATACTGAAGTACAGAAAAGTTAAGAATATATTTAGTGTCATTTAGTTAATAAAGAGACAATGAGAATTCAAATTCAAGTTTGGGTCATTCCAAAGCCTTTTATTACATCCCTGCTTCAGACTGGGCTACTTTAAAAAATCCAGCCTGCAGAAATGCAGATACGCGACAGGTAAATGAAAAGTGACCAACTATTCACTTATCAAAGGCAAATAGAAGTGCTTTATTTTCATAAACCAATTCACTTTGCTTTATGAAGATATTAGCTGCAGAATTCTTTTAAAATAGGGTTCCCCCCCCCAGTATGATTTAAAAGACCGCAAAACTTTGGACAAAATAATGGAAAAGACCTGGTGCTGTGGCTCACGTCTGTAATCCTAGCACTTTTGGGAAGCTGCAGTGGGTGGATCACTTGAGGCCAGGACTTCGAGACCAGCCTGGCCAACATGGCAAAACTCCATCTCTACTAAAAATACAAAAATTAGCTCAGGGTGATAACATGCACTTGTAGTCCCAGCTACTCGGGAGGCTGAGGCAGGAAAATCATTTGAACCCAGGAGACAGAGGTTGCAGGTTGCAGTGAGCTGAGAACACACCACTAAACTCCCATCTGGGTGACAGAGTAAGACACCTTCCCTCCACCCCCCACCCCAAAAAAAAAGAAAAGAAAGAAAGAAAAAAAAAAAAAAAGAAGAAAATACCAAGTATTACAAATGGTTATTTCCAGGTTGTGAATTTTATGGGCAGTTGGTGTTTTTTTCTCCTTTAAATGCTGCTGAGTTTTCTATAAAGAGAGTGATTTAATTACTGTTAACCTAAAGGAAAAAACTGAGACAAACTTAATGTAATGTAACCACAGAGTTTACTTGGGATAAGTTGGAGATTGCAACCTGAGAGCACAGATTCAAGTTGCTTTGAATATACACTTAGTAACAGTTACAAGTAGATTCTTTTGTGTGTGTGTGTGTATGTGTGGGCATGTGTTCTGTTGCCCAGACTGGCGTGTAGTGGCATGATCATGGCTCGTTGCAGCCTTGACTGTCTGGGCTGCTGAGATGCCTCCCGAGCAGCTGGGACTACAGACGTGTGCCACCATGCACAGCTAATTTTTTTTTTTTTGGTAGAGATGGGGTTCTCACTCTATTGCCCAGAGTTATCTTGAACCCCTGGGCTCAAGCAGTCTTCCCACTTGCCTTGGCCTCCATAAGTGCTGAGATTACAGGCATGAGCCACTGTGCCTGGTCAGAAGTGAATTTTAAAGGAAAAGAAGTTGTTTATCAATTATTTACATTAAAATAACATAAGCTATTGATTGGCTGTACATTGTATCACACACTTGTATCACACATTCTAGGAACAAGAAGGCCGCCAGTTAGGGATAAAATGCCTTTTAAACAATTGTCCTGGGCACAGGGTTACGGGGTGCTGAAGTCCAACACACTCTCTCTCTAGGCCTGATAGATTTTGCATTGCTCACATAACTCGGACGGTGTGAGTTATTTTTTTTTCTCTTTATCAGTGACCGAGGTCCCAGTCTCTCTGGGTCTGATAGATTTTGCATATCTCACATAGCTCAGACTGTGGGATTTATTTTTCTTTTCCTGTTCTCATGATACACACTGTGCAGTGTATATATAATGATTAAAGGCTCTCAGGAGCCTGTGGTCTGGGTTCAAATCCTGAACTCTACCTAATAACTACAGCCAACCAACTGCAGCCTGAGGGCCACACCTAGCCTTCTGCTGTTTTTATAAAGCTCAAGAGCTAAGAATACACTTTAGATTTTTATTTATTTGAGACAGAGTCTTGCTCTGTCACCCAAGCTGGAGTGCAGTGGAGTGATCTTGGCTCACTGCAACCTCTGCCTCCCAGATTCAAATGATTCTCCTGCCTCAACCTCCTGAGTAGTTGGGACTACAGGTGTACACCACCATGCCCAGCTATTTTTTTTTTTTATTTTTAGTAGAGACAGGGTTTCACTGTGTTAGCCAGGATGGTCTCGATCTCCTGACCTCGTGATCTGCCTGTGTCAGCCTCCCCAAGTGCTGAGATTACAGGCATGAGCCATCATGCCCAGCCTTAGATTTTTAAATGGTTGAAAAAAATTAAAAGGAAGAATATTTCATGACACATTACAATTATATGAAATCCAGACTTCAGTGTCTATAAATAAAGTTTTGTCAGAAGAGAAACACGGCCCCTGATTTACGTATTGCCTAAGGCTGCTATCGTCGCACAAGGCTGGAATTGAGTAGCTGTGGCAAATACCACACAGCTCAAAGACAAAATATCTACAGTCCGGCTCATGTCTGTAATCCCAGAACTTTGGGAGGCCAAGGCAGGAGAATCATTTGAGCCCAGGAATTTGAGATCAGTTTGTGCAACCCAGGAAGACCCTGTCTCTACAAAAAATAAAAAAATTGGTCAGGTGCACTGGTACATGCCTGTAGTCCCAGCTACTTGGGAGGCTGAGGTGGGAAGACTTACTGGCCATGGGAATTTGGGCAAGTAACTGAGTTCTCTGTATCTCAGATTCTTCCTCCATAAAATGGAGATAATAGTACCTGAGGACTAAGCTTTGATTCTTTTTTTATCTTGCTCAGATTACTTTCTAAGGGATCTGAGGAGTCATGCCCTACAAATTATAAATTCTCATGAGATTTTTTTTTTAGATGGAGTCTTTCTCTGTTGCCCAGGCTGAGTGCAGTGGTGGATGTTGGCTCACTGTAACCTCTGACTTCTGGGTTCAAGAGATTCTTCTGTCTCAGCCTCCCAAGTAGCTAGGACTACAGGCATGTGCCACTACGCCCAGCTAATTTTTACATTTTTAGTACAAACAGAGTTTCACCATGTCGGTCAGGCTGGTCTTGAACTCCTGACTTCAAGTGATTCACCTGCCTCGGCCTCCCAAAGTGCTGGGATTACAGGTGTGAACCACCACGCCTGGCCCAGATGGGTTTTATTTAACCCTGTACATCATGACTTACTTTCCAACCTGACTCTGGCATAATATTATGAGACAAGGAAGAAAATCAAAATATTTTATCCCGAAACATGTTTCTTTGCCATATTTTGAAAAGAAAACATTTGTCATCTATTGTCTCTAAGGGCAGCCACTATAAGACTTCAAACTTCAAAAGAACTTTGGTCTCCACAATCTTTATCTTAACCCAAATATTCCCTTTCTATCAATGTCAGGTCTTTAGACAAACTCTATCAACTGTCAAGCAGAAAATGTTCAAATTCACCTATAGTCTGGAAGCCCAATCTCCTCCTCCTCTTGCTTTGAGTTGTCCCACCTTTCTGGACCAAAGCAATGTATTTCCTAAATGTATTTGATTGATGTCTCATGCCTCTTTAAAAACGTATAAAACCAAGCTGTGCCCCCACCACCTTGGGCACATGTTCTCAGGGCCCCCCAAGGGTTGTGTCACAGGCCATGGTCATTCATATTTGGCTCAGAATAAATATCTTTAAATATTTTACAGAGTTCAACTCTTTTCATTGACATACCTACTTAGAAACACTGCTGAGATGACAAAATGAGTTAATATACACAGGGAATAGTGCCTGACACATAATTCAACATCACCCAAATCGTTTGATTTAGCTCTTTAGTGCTTCTTACTGATGAGACTTGGGGAATTTCATTAGTTCTTCCCCATCACTGCAATGTGCCATAATTAGTAGTCGTTGTGTTACCAAAGGCAGGGAGGAATCCAAGTGGAAGTGAGCAAGAGAAGTACAGGTAAATAGACAGCAGATAAGCAAATATTTGGGAAACTTTCATTGAGAAATTGTTAGTTGGAAGAAACCAGTTGCTGCAACCTGATACTTCACCAACTCAAGACTCAATCTAGTTGAAGGTTATGGAAGATTCTTACTTTCTGGAGCAAAAGACAGAAATCTTCATCCTATCATTTAAAGCTATAACTGCAGAAACGTGACTCCAATGCCTGACGTTCTTGCAAATACTGCTATAGGAACTTTAAAAAATGCAACAGTGTGTTTTTTTCCCCTTGGCTACAGACAAAATTTGAAAAGAATGCAAGAACATTTGAGAGCAAGCATATCATTGTGCAAGCCACAACACTAGACAGTGTTGATTAGAAGATGCAGTGACCTCCTTCATCCATTCTCCAACTGTACCTGCCAGCAGGAAAAATTGACACCTAATTAGAGTATATACAACTATAATACTAAAATGCCAAACAATGGTCATATCCAGAGAACTTGTAATTTAAAATTGTATGTATCTGATGCCTATCTTCAAAGAGCTTTCAGAACCAGTGAAAATTCCAACTCCTTGCAGCACCAAAGTTAGTTTGATTTACGGGGTTGTCATTTAAAGTGCTGGTACCTTGGTAGAAACTATGGCTTATTTTGTCCAATTAGAAAATGGAATTTGTGATCAGAAAATGAGGTGAAAGGACTTTTCAGTTTTACAAGACTATATCTTAAACAATTTCCTAGTCATGCAGAGTCATTATTTGTGAGAAATAGCTTGTGCCAAGAACTAAAAAACTGTCTTTTAATTCCTTAGAATTATTTTCATTGGAGTGTCACTCAAACTCAATTTTAAGCTTTGAAACCATTGTGTAGCAACCAAATCACTAGACTTTTCAGTCGAATAATTCCTGTATCCTATTTTGTTCCGTAAAACTCAGCTTATAAAATTTGCAAACTCATGGACTATCTATTAAAGAAACCAAAACACAAAGCGCTCCATATTTATTAAAATATGAAAGGAAAAAATGTAATTACATGGCAATAGATTGTTTTTCTTGTCTTATGCATGTGGTTCTAAAGTGAGTTCACTCTTGGTGATAGTATTTCCAAAAGGAGTAAAATGAAAATTTTAAAAAATTGTGTAAAACACTTGTCCTATGTTGAGCATGATGTGTTATGTCCTATAGACTCCTGCTGTCTTCCTCCCTAAAGAACGTTTCATGTAGTGCAGATTAACCTTTGTCTATACATCTTGAAATAGTTTAATAAATAAATCAAATAATATTAATATCAATAATAAAAATGTGATCCCGGAACGTTTACCAGGCTTAATCTAATTACCCATCAACCGTTCAGATCATCCAAGAGAGGAAAAAAGAAAGCAATGAACATGTGTATTTGACGTAGGAAATGCTTCAGGATTTGTTTTTCAACAAACTTATCCTTGCAGTTAGGTTTTTTTCCCTGAACAGCCAGCCAGAGCACTTACCACAGCTCAAGACTGGCCATAGAATCTGCCACGTTTGTAATAGCTATCTGCAATTAAAAGATTATTTGACTGGCTGTATCACTTTAGTAAGAATCTTGGGGAAGGGCAGGGCACAGTGGCTCATGCCTGTAATCCGGGCGGGCATTTTGGGAGGTCGAGGTGGGTGGATTACTTGAGGTCGGGAGTTCAGGACCAGCCTGGCCAACATGGTGAAACTCTATCTCTACTAAAACTACAAAACATCAGCCGGGTGTGGTGGTGGGCACCTGTAATCCCAGTTACTCAGGAGGCTGAGGCAGGAGAATATCTTGAACCCAGGAGGCAGAGGTTGCAGAATATCTTGAACACAGGAGGCAGAGGTGGCAGTGAGCTAAAATCACACCACTGCACTCCAGCCTGGGTGATAGAGAGTCTCAAAAAAAGAGAAAAGTATAGACTAATAAAGAAAGAAGGAAAGAAGGGAAGAGAACTAGTGACTGTTGAGTACTGCACATACCTTTAAGGTACTTACATTTCATCCTCACAAGTCTTCACATGAGGTATTAATATCCCCCTTTCACAGAGGAAACACACATGAAGCTCAGGGAGATAAAGTGACTTTTCTAGTAACACAATTCATAAGTGGCAAAGCCATAATTTGAGCCTATGCCTCTGAAATCTATCCTTGTCAAGAGCCCAGTTCCGGAAATAAATCAAGTCCAGGGGAAGCACAACTGAATTAATACCCCAAAATGCTCGCTTTATTAATGGGGAAAAAAACCACAAGCAAAGTCTATGCAAAAAGGGCTAATAAAATGGCAACAGGCTAATAACATGGGGTTGTCAGGAAAACAGAGTTTAATCCACCTGTGCACTTTGAAATCCTCAAAAAGCATGCCAGTGCTTAGGTGAGGGGATTCCTGAGAAGGCACAAGTGTTGGGCTGCCATATTGATTCCGCTGGAAATGAGTGGATAGAGCTGAAAGCTGTAGAAGGGCAGGAATTTTACCCATCTCAGTCTCTGCTCTCTCTTGGTGCTTAGCGTAGTGCTTGGAACAGTGTCAGCTCAAGGCTGAATAGCTTCTCTATCAACCAAAGGTACACAAAGGAAGAAAATCGAAATCCCTACATTCCCATGTGTCCCAGGGAATATGTGTGAGTTCACAAATGACTTTCTAGGGAGTACAAGTTTGCATTGGTCAGCTCTCCCCAAGAGCCAACCAAGGACCGGGAAGAAGTTAGTAAAGAGCCCAGAGTACAAAAGTTAAGGGGGCACTCTCTGGGCCAAAGGCGGGGCTGGCACCTAAAAATAAGTTCCTCCTTAAATTTTGCATCATAAGCACCTTGCATAGCTCACCCTACTCCTGGCCTAGCCAAAAATAATCTGTGGATTTGTTTTAGATGAGTCTATCTACTATAGCTGTTAAGAGTGCAGGCTCAAAAGAAAACATAAAAACAAACAAAAACAAAGAAAAAAGAAAAGAAAAGAAAAAAAGAAAGAAAGAGTGCAGGCTCAGACCGAGCATGGTGGCTCACACCTGTAGTCCCAGCTACTTGGGTGGCTGAAGCAGGAGAATCACTTGAACCCAGGAGGTAGAGGTCGCAGTGAGCTAAGATTGCACCACTGCACTCCAGCCTGAAGGGCAGAGCAAGGCTTTGTCTAAAAAAAAAATGCAGGCTCTGAACACAGATCAGCTTCCAATCCAAGCTTCATTTCTATATTCACTAGCTGGAAGCTCAGTCTAGTTACCAGTAACCTCTGTAATCATCTACTGCTACCTGCAAAATGAGGTTTATGTTTACAGTTATCTTGTGGGTCTGCCAGGAGGATAAACTGAGGTGCCACAGGGAAACTGTCTAGTACCATGTAGTAAGCATCTGCTATGGATTGAATATGTACCCTAAAGTCCATATGTTAGAAACTTTATCACTGATGCAACAGTATAAAGAGGAAGAAGCTTTAAGAGGTGATTAGGTCATGACAGCTCTGCTGTCATAAAAGGATTATGTGGTTATCTGAGGAGGGGGTTAGTTATCCCAGGAGTGGGTTCCTCATAAAAAGGATGAGTGTCTCCTGAATTTCTCTCTCTCTTGTGCTCACCTGCCTTTCTACCATGTTATGATGCAGCACAAAGACCCTCTCCAGCTGCTGGTACTATGCTCTTGGACTTCCCAGTCTCCAGAACTGTGAGCCAAATCAACTTTTTTTTTTTTTGATATGGCCTGGATGACAGAGTGAGACTCTGTCTCAGAGAAGAAAAAAGCTTATTAAGATTATTAGTTTGTTAAGATTTTTAGTATGAAGATTAAATTTAGATATTTAGTATTTTAAAATTCTGCTATTGATGAAGATTAAAAATATTAGGATTAAGATTTTTAGTACTTTAGTGGTTTCTTCTTATTTATTGACACAAAAGTGAGATTTGTCATTATTAGGTCAAGCCATTGGGTCAGAATTATAAAAATGCTGAGTAATTATTAGTGACACTAAATTTAAAGATTATCAATGTCTGAGATTATTTTAAAAAAAGAACTTAGATATGTGTCCCAAATATGTATCTCAAATGTAAATTGTCCTTAACATATGCTGTCAGTCTAAAAGTAAATGTTTCAGATTACATCTTGAGTTTACATATTTTAAACCTCACTCATGTCTACTCATACACTGGTGGAAGTTTGAGATGCCTTGGCCCTTAAATTACTTGGTAGAAGATCTATAAGTTGAAGTATACCTTGGGAACACAGGGAAATACTGATATTGAATTCTAGTCCATCTACTGCACTAAAAACAATTTGTAGACTGGGCACAGTGGCTCACGCCCATAATACCCGCACTTTAGGAGGCGGAGGTGGGCTGATCACTTGAGGTCAGGAGTTTAAACCATCCTGGCCAACATGGTGAAACCGCGTCTCTACTGAAAATACAAAAAGTAGCCAGGTGTGGTGATGCGTGCCTGTAATCCCAGCTACTCAGAAGGCTGACGAAGGAGAATCGCTTGAACTCGAGAGGTGGAGGTTGCAGTGAGCAGAGATTGAGCCACTGTACTCCAGCCTGGGCGACAGAGCAAGACATTGTCTCAAAAAAAAAAAAAAAGTGTAAACAGAAAGGGACTATGTCCTGCATATGTAATGTAACAATCACAATCACAAATGCACCAAACTATGTAAACTTATGCAAGAAAACATCAGTTTATATGCTTTCCTGTTAATTTTAGTTTTACTTACTTGTTTTGTTAGCATTCATTAGCATGATTCAAAACTTATCAAAATCAATAATTCCAGGTAAATCCCATTCATTCACTCAAAGTAGAAATTGTAATTACTGAAAGAAAAAAAAAATCCTACTTCTCTGCTTCCTCTTATGATGGTTGTGTATACTGAGATACTGGTGTCATTGTTCTCTATTAGTATAGGAATGTGGCCCAAAGCCTGGCTCTCCCTTCATCTTGTTCTCTTTCTTCTTTGCAAACCAATTATCCAAGTCCTCCAAACCTGTTCTGGCCTCAGGGCATTTTCACTTGAACTTGGACTGGCCCCTGGACTGGCTCTTTCTCTTTGCTCAGATCTTAGCTCCTCAGTGGGGCTGTCCCAGACCACCCTGTCCTCTTGCCAGGCCATCTCTCATAGAGGACATGGTTCTCTGTTTTGTGAACCATGGGCTCTCCTGCACGGGGCACAGGGCTGGGCATGGAGGCAGTGCAAAAGGTAGGTATCTAAGAGCTCTGAAACCTGGCTGGTAAATACCATCCCCTCTAAAAGGAACCCAACAGGTTGTACCTAGGACCTATGACTTCTTGTGTTAGAAACAAGGAAGTTTTTTAAACCTATCTGAAGCTGTAGACAAAGGATAGAGGAGTGGCCTGGAAAAAAACAATGTTTATAATCGATTGAAAAACATAATACCTTCAAAAATTAATGAGTCTATAATGATACTTAAAAACAGAAACTCTAGGCCAGGCACGGTGGCTCACACCAGTAATCTCAGCTCTTTGGGAGGCTGCGGCAGGTGACGGTTTGAACCCAGCAGTTCAAGACCAGCCTGGACAACATGGCAAAACCCCGTCTCTACTAAAAATACAAAAATTAGCTGGATATAATGGTGTGTGCCTGTAATCCCCGCTACTAGAGAGGCTGAGGTGGGAGGATCGCTTGAGCCCAGGAGGCAGAGGTTGCAGTGAGCCGAGATCGTGCAACTGCACTCCCGCCTGAGCAACAGTGTGAGACCCTGTCTCAGAAAGGAAAGAAAGAAAGAAAGAAAGGAAAAAAGGAAGGAAGAAAGGAGGAAACTGAAACAAAAAAGCCTGTAAGGGGGAAAATAAGCATTTATATTGTTCATGAGGAATCGCTATACAGGATAACTAAGTAGACCGAGTTGTTAAGAAGAAGCTATGCCTTATGTATCAACACCAGTAAAAATATAAAAACAATATAATTTGAAAAGCATGATTTTGTGATCCCTTGAGCAGGGATAATCAACTGGAATTACATCATTGGTTGGGTAGTTTATAGGGTGCTGGACACGTACGGAGCCAAAGTCACAGTGTGCAGATGACATATTGCCACAGGGGAAACAGTGAAACAGCATAATAAAGATATCAGGGCTGAGGCAGGAGGATCGCTTGAGGCCAAGAGTTGAAGATCTGGGCAACATCTGAAAAAAAAAATTAGCCAGGCAGGGTGGTACATGCCTGTAGTCCCAGCTAATTGGGAGGCGGAAGTGGGAGGATTGTTTGAGCCCAGGAGTTCAAGATTACAATGAGCTATGATGGTGCTACTGTAGTCCAGCCTGGGTGGTGGGGTGAGACCATGTCTTGGGGGGAGCGGGGGAGGACATCGAGCCAATACCAATCCAAATGAACAATTTACTATAAGTGGGCCTGCCAGATATCATGAACTTCTGATGTGGGGTGATATAAAGCACACGTTGTCATTTCTGGTTTTGTCTGTGTATATTCTGATTTCTTTTTTTTGTGAGATCTCTGAAGTCAGACTGCTTGGTTCTAATCTTAATTCCTCTATTTCTAGATTGGGATCTTGAGCAGTTTATGCAACCTCTTAGAACCTCTTAGGGTTTTGTGAGGATCTAACGAGAATATCTGTGCAATTGCTGGAATGGGGCTAGGTACTTAAAACGCTCAATATTCAATAAATTAGCTATTATCATTGTAAGTACCTTATTCTTTCATTTCATTTTAGAAAGGCTCTTGCTCTGTCATTGAGGCTGGATTGCAGTGGTGCAATCATGGCTCACTACAGCTTTGACCTCCCTGGTCTCAGGTGATCCTTCCACGTCAGCCTCCCAAGTAGCTGGGACTACAGGTGCACCCCACCACACCCAGCTAATTTTTAAAAAAGTTTTGCAGAGATGAAGTTTTGCCATGTTGTCCAGGCTGGTCTCAAACTCCTGGGCTCAAGCAATCTGCCTGCCTTGGCCTCCCAAAGTGCTAGGATTATAGGCATGAGCCACTGTACTCAGCCTCTATTATTTCTTGAATAAACGCATACTACTGTCATAATAGCCATAGATAGCTATATATAACTGTCCTCCCCTCCCACCCAGTCCAGCCCATGGGATTCTAGACTTTCAGCTGGGGATAATTTGAGAACTATCAAGGCATCAAGACCGAAGTTCCAGGCTCTCCTCCCATCATTAACCCATCCTCAGGGACTGAGGATGTCAGTTAAGGGCTCTGAGCCTGGGCTTCCTCATGAGCCAGAAGAACAGTGGGCAGGGCCTCAAATGTGTGGCCTATGGGGAGAAAGGTGATGCACGCGGGGGCAGGAAGGTATTGTTCAGTGTGACCTTGAGCTAAATCCCTGGGGCACCATGCACCTAAGATAAAATGTGAAGGTTCCCACTCTCAGTGGACAATACACCAATACTATTTTTCTTAAATTTACCCTAAATGAAACTGGGACCCACCCTGATTATGGTTCCCAGCTTTAGTGAACAAACGTTTGTTTACTGAATCCTATAAAGGATAAATATAAAATTTTCATTTTTTATCATTATGATTCTTCCAGAACAGATTCCATTGCACACATCCCCTTGTAACACTATAGTGTATTCACTTATGCCATTGGTTGCCTATCTTCCCTGCTAGACCATCAGTTTCGTGAAGGCTGGGAACTTTGTTTTGTTCACAAATGCAGCTCAAGCATGTCCAGTCGTCCTGGTGTGTGGTAGAGGTTTGATAGATATCAGTTTAATTGTTCAAAAATCAACCTTGGGTTTTGGTTTGTTCACTGAATGCAAATTTGCTCTAAACTTGATTTCACAATCTTGATCCACAAGAAGTAAAAATATGGGGTTTAAGTGCACAGCCTGTGAAATGAATACCATTTTTCTCTTTCCAAGACTGCTTTGAGTCAGGGAAGTGTCACAGCTGTCCAGAGCTTGGGTGAGAGGACTGACGTGTATGTGTGATGTGTCATTTGGCACAGTGAGGTCAGGGTTTTTCCCATAACACATCAACTTGTGTTAATTACAGGAAGTAAAGAGGAATCTGGATCCCCAGGCCCGCCTCTCTTTGTTGACTCTAAATGGGAATGGCTGATCACAAAGGAGCCAACCAAGGCCAAGAACCTTAAGTCCTTGAGAGTGGGCTGGGAAAGTGGGCAGGAAGTGGAAAAAAATTATTCTTGCACTTATTGTATAGTAAGTTCGATTGAAGGATTAGCTTCTATTGTTCTTATAACTAAGAATTAGTTACAAATTCATCAACAAAAATATTCAGAGGATTTTGATTACTACATAGAAATCTCTCAGTCTTGATCACACAAGTTCTGCCAAGGCCCCAAGACTCCCTCAACGTGCTTTGTGTGTGGAGGAACCACGAGAAGAGGAGGAAGCCCTGCCACATGGACCCCCAAGACATTTGCTTGAGTCCACTCAAACGGGGACACCCCAGAACAAAAGGCACTTTCTTGTGGTTCCACTAAGAATTAATCCTTTATATACAAGAAGCACAAATTCCAAGAAGCAAGGCACAAGGCCATTTTTAAACCCTTTCATACAATAAAAACTTTTTTTTTGAGATGTAGTCTTGCTCTGTCACCCAGGCTGGAGTGCAGTGGTGTGAGTTTGGCTCACTGCAACCTCCACCCCTTGGGCTCAAGCGATTGTCATGCCTCAGCCTCCCAAATAGTTGCTACTATAAGCATGCCACCACACCCAGCTAATTTTT